CCCGCCGCCACAGGCCCACCTGCATCCACTTGTCTCAACCGCCGGGCCTGTATGTCCCTGTCAGCTACCGCTGGGTCTTTCTGCCTCTGCTGGCCGCCAACGGGCCTGTATGTCTCCGCCGGCTGCCACCGGGCCTGTATGTCTCTGCCAGTTGCCGCTGGGCCTGTATGACCCTGTCGGCTGCTGCCACTGGGCCTGTCTACCTCCGCAGGTTGCTGACCTGCATCCGCCTGTCTTCACCGCGTGGCCCGTCTACCTCTGTGGGCTGCCGCCGGGCCTGAATGTCTCTGTCGGCCGCCACCGCCGGGTCCGTCTACCTCCACGGGCCGCCACCACAGGCCTACCTGCATCTGCTTGTCTCCGCCATCTTGAATCTGGATCAGGATTTCTTTCTGCTTTGGAGTCTGGAAGAGTTGGGAAATGTTCTTCAGAGAGAGGTTTAGTTGATCTGAGTTGGTAGGCAGCTGCAAAGGAAATTTTAGTTTCTTGAGGAGTAAAGGCAATGGTGGTGCCTAATTTTCAAAGCAGATCTCTGCCTAGAAGGTAGAAAGGGCAATAATCTGGGACCACCATGAAAGAATGAGTCATCTGATTGTGGCCCAGGTAAACTGTTATTATAAGTGTGAGGCAATCGTCATTAATCATGCCTGGGGCTCCCTATCCACGTCTACACAGTCCTGGACCTTAAGGATGCTTTCTTTTCCATTCTTCTGGCACCAGTGAGCCAGCCCATATTTGCCTTTGAATGGAATGACCCAATGTCCATTGAAACTAGCCAGCTAAACAGATCAGGACTATCCAAAACGTTCCCCTACTACTTTTATGGATGGAATACAAAAATCCTTATTTCAATCCTCATTCAACTCTGCTCCAGTATGTAGTGGATCTACTGGCAGCAGCCAACACAACTACACTTTTGAAAGACCAAAGGATTTTCTGCTCCAGACATTGGAACAACATGTCTCTCTGAAAAAGGCTCAACTTACAAACAGAGGTCTTGTATCTTGGATACAAATTGCTCTAGGTAGGAGAACTCTCAGTGGCTTCCCAGAAGGAAGCTATCCTCAGGATCACCACTCCTAAACCAAGAAGCAGGCATGCAAATTCCTGGGGGTATCTGTATATTATAGGCTCTGGGTTCCTGCTTTTGCTGAAATATCCCGGCCCCTTTATTTTCCTACTGTGGGAGATGATTCTTGGAAGTGGACTGAAACAGAGGAACAAGCTTTCTGGGAACTAAAGCACGCTCCAACCTAAGGCCCAGCTTTGGCCCGACCAGATGTCACTAAACTGTTCCACCTTCTCAGAGCATTGCAAAGGGCATTTTGACTCAGACCCTAAAACCCTGGTGGTCTCCAGTCGGCCATCCTGTTTGTGTGCCATAGCCAAAACCACTATACCAGTAAGAGAATCTGACAAACTCACCCTGGTCCAGACCTGACTTTACAGGCTCCACATGCTGGAGAAACCCCCTTAAGAGGGGCACATGGCTAGTGGGTGTCAAATGCCAGTATCTGGATCTGTTGCCCGATCACCCCCATCTCACATTTCCTGCTGTGCACAATCTCCACCCTGTGACATGGTTGCCCGATGATGACCCCGATGTCCTACTCCATAACTATGAGGACTTGCTGGAAATTTCTCAGGCCAGTTGTCCAGACCTCCAGGACACTAACCTGTCTGAGGCAGAGGCTGATTTCTTTACTGATGGAAGCAGCCTAGTCATTAATGGAGTCAGGAGTACAGCAGCAGCAGTAACTACCCAATGGGATACTATATGAGCACAAGCCTTGCCACAGGGCACATCAGACCAAAAGGTAGAGCTGATGGGTCTCACTCAGACCCTACACTGGGGAAAGTGAACATTTATACAGACTGCAGGTATGGTTTTTTAAAGATTTATTTATTTATTTATTTATTTATTTATTTATTTATTTATTTATTTATTTATTTATTTATTATGTATACAGCATATGTGACTGCAGGCCAGAAGAGGGTACCAGGTCTCATTACAGGTGGTTGTGAGTCACCATGTGGTTGCTGGGAATTGAACTCAGGACCTCTGGAAGAGCAGTCAGTGCTCTTAACTGCTGAGCCATCTCTCCAGCCCGGAAAGTGAACATTTATACAGACTGCAGGTATGTTTTTGCTACCTTTCATGTCCATGCTATGATTTATATAGGAGAGGTGTATAGCATGAATCCTAATTGATCTTAATAATAAAAACCCAGAGCCAGATATTGGGGTTACTGCTGAAAGATCAGAGACAAAAAGGAGCAAGCCATAGCCAACTCTTACTTTACCAATTCCTCAGCCTTAAAGAGGGTGGGCAAGTTCCTGTCTCCACCTGCCTTATATTCCTCTCTCTGCCCAGCCATATCACTTCCTGTTTCCTCCTCCCTAGTGCTGGGATTAAAGATGTGTGCCACCACTGCCTGCCCTCTATGGTTAACTAGTGGCTAGCTCCACACTCTGATCTTCAGGCAAGCTTTATTTTTTAGGGCACAAACAAAATATCACCACAGATATTAACTGCTGGAAGGAAAACTTGAAAACAAAGAGGAAATTCTCGCTGTCCTTAAAGCAGTCTGGCTCCCTAAGGAGGAAGCTGTTTTCCATGACAAGGGGCATCAAATGGCAGCACACCTGAAGCTCAGGAAACTGTAAGGCAGACCAGGTAGCCTGACAAGCAGTCTAGACGCCTATGGAGCCCCTTTCTGTCTTGCCCACTACTTTTCCTATTTATAGATCCCTCCCCAGCTCCTCAGCTCTGAGAGATGGCCACCTCTCTCAATGGCTCTCAGCCTCTCAATATCTCTCCTGCACACAGGTCAACCCAAAGCAAGGGGTAAAAGGTGTTCCTGCTGTTTGTCTGAAGTGACTTGTCCCTGGTGAACAATGGGATATTGACTTTACAAAGAAGAAGACTCCTCACATGGAGTATAAGTACTGTTAGTGTTTGAACACCTTCTCCCAATGGGTGGAAGCCTCTGTATCTGTAGGGAGTCTGCTCTGACAGTGAGCAAGACTCTTTTTACATCCCTAGGTTTAGGAACGAGAGAGGGGGAAGGATGCTAGAGGCCAGAGTGAAAGTAAGATATGCAGAAGTAAGAAAGGTAAAAGTCTAGTGCCGAAAGGTAAATAGGATAAGTTAGTTAAAGAAAGATGGGTAGAAACAAGCCAAGGTAAGGTTGGACATTTATAATTAAGAATAGGGTGGTGGGACCCCAATAGACCTTCCTATTGATGCACTCACAATGGGTTAGCAGGGCCAAATGTCTGCACACAGTGCCTCTCATTTGTAATGATGTGCATCCCATTGGCTCTCATTGGCTGGGCAGTGGAAAGAGGTGGACTCTCCCTGGGAGCTTGAAGGGAGCTGCCAGCAGCCAGGTCAGTACCCTGTCCTTGGCTTTCTGAGGAACCACTCTTTAGCTAATCACTACCATCGCACAGGTCCTGAGAGTCAGAAAAGCAGGCCTGGTGATTCGTCTGTAACCCTCAGTGTTGTCCAGGCCAGTGGTGACACCACCATGATGAACCTTCTACAGAGGATTTCCGACATCTTTCAGTGGAAGACAGAGTCTGAAGAGACACCACAGGAAAAATCCTCAAGGTATGCCTCTTGGAGTCCCTTTATCTGTCATTCAAGGGACTCATCAGAAAAGGGTCTCTCTCTACCATGACATGATGTGGGACACAGATGGCAGGAGGGGCCTGCCGCCATCCTGAATGGCTGTTGAGCATGAGGGTGTCCCTGAGTTCCCAAGAGTTAGGCCAGCACTGAACTGTGCCCCAAGCTCCCGTGGTGGGCCAAAGCAGGAGGGTGTTTGGACCAACTCAAAGAACACGTGACACAAGTCTTTGCGGGATGTACTGTCTCTGCCTTTCCCCTTACAAGATGCCTCTGTGTATTCCACAGAAAAGGGAACATCTCACTGGAGACTGAATTTGGTCTTGTTTCCCATGAACACAAGTATCTGAAGCCAGGAGGCAGACTCAGTCATAAGGAGGGTACCATGAAGGAAGGTGGCCGGTTGTCCCAGCAGGATACTGGAGCCAGTTCCCAAAACATTGCTTACCCATTATGCTCATGAAGAATTAAGACAATTTGGAAACATGTTCTTACACCTGCACATATCTTTTAATGCTTGGTCAGAAATTAGAGCCATGGTCATGCATTTGCTGCTGCTGCTGAGGCAGGCATATACCAGCAATAATGGGAGTTTAAAGAGGCTTCCTGAGCAGGACTTGTACTCTTACTGGGACAGGCCACCCACAGATGCCATGGAGGTGACATTCAGTAGTCACAATCTTAGGGCCCAGGAACGGTTTTTCTGGTCAGAGAAGTGATGATATGTGCTCACATCTACACAGGTGCTCAGAGTAGGACTTCTGTGTAGAGACTGTTTGCATTTGATATGAACCATTGTGACCTTAGTTTATCTGTGCCATAGATATCTCCAAGTTGAAGACTGTCAGAGGAATTGTGACCACCCTGTGTACCGACTGTGGCTGGATTAATGAATCTATCTTTTTCAATACTGACACGTTGTGTGGCAAAGTCCCACTGAACATTGGGACAAGTGTCACTGCTCTTGTGGAAGAAAACGAAACAACCCATGTACTGAAATCAATCAAGGTATGCCTGAATTTACCCAGAGTCTCTTAACCTAGTGCAATGTTTATTTCTCCCTTGGAATAAGACAGATGCTAATGTAGACATAGAGTGAGTTTAATGGGCTTGCCCTTATATTTGAGAGTCAGATGCAGATAGAATGTCTCTGAGTTCAAAGTTGGACTGGCTTACATAATATGTTCAGGTCATCCAGGATTACAATATAGGACCTTGTTTTAAACAAACAACCCACTTGATAAATGATTTTCTGCTTTACTTATTTGCTCATTTAAGATTTATGTAACAAAGTCTTATTCTCTGTATCACATATCTGTAGCTAGAGTTTTCCTGCCTTGCCCACAGTCAGGACAAATCTTTGTCACCCGCCAGTTCCACAGCCGCTCAGACCCAACCAAGTAAACACAGAGACTTATATTGCATACACACTGTATGGCCGTGGCAGGCTTCTTGCTAACTGTTCTTATAGCTTAAATTAATCCATTTCCATAAATCTATACCTTGCCACGTGGCTGGTGGCTTACCGGCATCTTCACATGCTGCTGGTCATGGCAGTGGCTGCAGTGTCTCTCTGCCTCAGTCTTCTGCTTCCCAGAATTCTCCTCTCTCCTTGTCCAACCTACTTCCTGCCTGGCCACTGGCCAACCAGTGTTTTATTTATTGACCATTTAGAGCAATTTCACATATAGACTGTCCCACAGCACATATCCTCAAATTTCCCAGGAAAATCAGAAATTATTCAAGGTACAGTATGTCTGTGGGCTCATGGAGAGTCAGAATGCAGATTGGTCAGAGTATGTGATGCTCATCAACCTCCATACTGACGGAAGAGGTCGTGAATACTCAGACAGGAGCTAAGTTCTTCACTCCTAGGTGCAAAGGATCCTGGAGAAAGGACCACCCCATCTGTCCTGATAACTGGTCATACACCGAGTGGCAGGTGGCAACAGCAATTAGTTAGGGTTTGAAAAGACATACAACAACCTTTGACATCAGTGGCTCCAGTTTCCTTTAGGGCTCTCAGTACAATAACCAGCATGATGATTGCATCCACAGTATCACACAATGAGAAACACAGCTCACTAATTATTATGCATGTACCCATTGTGATTCCAGATGACCCTTTCTGCCACCTTTTCCTGTGTCTTTGTGTGATATTTTGATAGCATGCACAATATTCAGTTTTGATTTTAAAACTGGTAAGCAGTCACTTGTTCTGGACAGTGAAATTATCCAGTATGGTTTGTGGGAGATGGGTTTCTGCTTTGTGCTCATGTGAGTATCATGTTTTTGAATAGAGAAAGTACATTATTTAATGAAGAAATTTTCAGAGGGAAACTACCTCCAGTAAGAATCATTATCCTCGTTGAGCCAGAATAGTAGTATTCTTCCACACTTAGGTGAATGGAGCCCTGGCATGCCTTGTCTTTGCAATCTCTTTCAAAGGGGGTCATTTCTTCCACTTCATCTCCTGCTTCTGCACCCATGTCCAGATAGGGAAAAACATGCTCTCCCTCCTTGTTCTCCAAAATTGTTCTGCTCGTTCTTGTCTCTGTCAACTTTATT